TTTTCAAAATTTGTGGTCTTTTTTTGTTAATTTAGCAAAAAATAAAACCCCCAGCGGTGATTAAATGCCACCAAAAGAAAGCTCTAGTTGTGTGAAGAAAATGATAAAATTTTTAGTTTGGGTACAGTGTTGTATGACCACGCAATTGTCATTCAAAGTGTGAGAGAGCTGAAACCTGAAAAATGGCCTGGGCAGGAAGGTGTAAAATTGCCCGGTATTGAATTGGTTAATATAAGAAAGGATTTTGCTTACTTTGGAAAACACAGCTTGGCATGGCATGCCATTATTAAAGTGTTACTAAACTCAGGACCCTGCAATCACTGTATCTTGTCTCCCACAGAAAACAGAACATGGAAGTGCAATTATTTAAAAAAATATATAAACTGCTAAATACCTTTTCTCAGCATCAGTTACAGCAGTCTTGTGACTACTATCAGTGTCCAGCAGAGCACATCTTAAAGCTTGTAGAGGGAGATTTAATTTTGCTCTAGGAGGAAGCAGAACCCCTGACCTCTGTCTGGACAGAGCTGATTGGCCCTGTGCTGATCACATGCACTCTCCCAAGAAAAAAAAAAAACGCTCTAACATTACACTCCAAACTGAGCATGTGCAGAGTGACCCCACACAATATGTATTATCAGGAGATTTACAGGGACACTGGAAGAAGGGGAGGATCAGAGAAGTCAGGATCAAACAGAATTTTTACACAATGCAGAAGATTAACCCCTTAGGATCCACAGTGATTATAACAAGCATGCTTTACTGCATATACAGACTGATTTTACTGTTGTGGGTTAAGGAACACTTTAAGCTTGTGATCTACCAGAACACCCAGAACCTTCTCCACCATTGATTCCCCCAATTGTACTCCCCTGTCAGGGAGCGAGGAGCCAGACACACAAGGAGGTGCAATTAAAGGTAGGTTTATTAATATCAAAATAAGACAAGAGTCTATGCAAGTCCAACAGCAGAAATCGTACCCAAAGCCGGGATCAAGAGCCCGGAAGAATCGTCGCCAGAGCCGGGATCAGGAGCCAGGAAGAATCGTCGCCAGAGCCGGGATCAGGAGCCAGGAAGAATCGTCACCAGAGCCGGGATCAGGAGCCAGGAAGAATCGTCACCAGAGCTGGAATCAGGAGCCAGGTAGAATGGTCGCCAGAGCCGGGGTCAGAAGCCAGGAGGAGTCTTAGCCAAAGCCGAGTCGGTATCCAGGAGAGCAATGAGTAGCTAAATAGAGCTTGCTGCTGTGCAAGAGACAGGACACGAATGCAATGGACAGCTGCAAACAGCAGACTTATATGTGATAAGCCGCCACCTCCTGGGGGAGGAGCCGCAGAGGGCTGAAAGCATAAAGGATCCCACAATGCTTTGCAGACACCTAAGATGGATGCCAGCACATGGAGCAGCCCAAGCCCTGAGGAAAGGTAGGACCTCCTCCTCAAGGACCCCTCCCCCTCCGCGGCTCAACATAAGGCTTCTAGGGAAAGCGGGAGTGAAAAGCGCGGAGGAGGGCAGGAGCATGAACATCCGCAGAAGGAACCCAGAAATGCTCCTCGGGACCATAACCACGCCAATGGACCAGGAACTGCACCAGACCGCGGACCAACAGAGAGTCCAGGATGCGGCTCACCTCATACTCCTCATGACCGTCAACCCGGATAGGACGAGGCCGAGGCGGAGAGGCAGTAAAGCAATTAAAGACCAAGATGGTTATCCACAGCCGGAATGTCCTGTGGCGAGAACAACTCAGGCAATACAGCGGGTTGGAACCCATAGTTGGCCATGAAGGGAGACATCCCGGAGGAGGAGTTGACAGCCGAGTTCCTCCATGGCAGGAGATCGACCCAATTGTCTTGATGGTCTGAGATATAGCAGCGAAGGAATTGTTCCAGGGCCTGGTTGGAACGCTCCGCAGCCCCATTGGACTGCGGGTGGTAGGCCGAAGAGAAGGAGAGCTTGATACCCAACTGGGAGCAGAAGGCGCGCCAGAACCTGGACACAAACTGGCTCCCACGGTCCGAGACAATCACCTTAGGTAACCCATGCAAGCGAAAGATCTCCCTGGCGAAAACTGTAGCCAGTTCTTGCCCGGCAATTGAACGGAACACAGTGGCTCTTGGAGAGACGCAATGGGCGGTCGAGACGCAGGGAAGTCTACAATAAAATCCGAAGAGAAGGAGACCCCGACACTGACTACCCAACTGTGAAGGGGGACTGAACAGATAGGCCGCAGCCAGAACCTGGACACAAACTGGCTCCCACGGAGTGACCCGAGACAATCACCTTAGGAGTAACCTGTGCATGCAAGATCGTCTGCAACGCCTGAGCGAAGATCTTGCCAACAAGAATCCTGCTGATCAAGTCTGGCAACCAACATAGGGAGCGAGTGGCACATACTTGCACCGTCAGGATTCATGGCATTCGTGTACCAGGGAGCGAATGACCGACACACAAGGAGGTGCAATTAAAGGTAGGTTTTATTAACCACTAGACGCAGGGGCCGGCCAAGTGGACGTCATATGACTACAACGCGCTCTCCTGCGCGCCCCAGGGGGCGCGCACCCGGCGATCCATGCCTACGGACACAGCTGATCAGGAGATGTGGTGGGGCCGAGCCCACCGGCCTTTTACCACGTGATCAGCGGTGTCCAATGACAAATCATAAAATGCACCGGTTCTGGCTGCACTTAAGCTGTCAAATCGTGAGGAAAGTACCCGAGAACCGACTCGGCACCGATCATCAGGGCACTGAATCAGTGCCCTGATGATCGGTGCCCAGCAGGTGACCCGCCGCAGTGACCCCCGCATTTCCGGTCAGCAGTGCGCCCACTAGCCCCGCCCACCCATTCCCAGCAGTGCCCCCACCTTGCCCAGGTGCCCCCACCTGTGCCCAGCAGTGCCCCCACCTGTGCCACTCTGCAGTGCCACCTACCTGTGCCCAGAAGTAGTGCCCAAAGTGCCCACCCACCTGTGCCCACCCACCTGTGCCCACCAGTGCCAACCTGTGCCCACCAGTGCCACCACATGTGCCCACCCACCAGTGCTGTCACCAGTGCCACCCACCAGTGCCACCCCACCAGTGCTGCCTCAGTGCCACCAGTCAGTGCCCACCAGTCAGTGCCGCCAGTCAAGAAGTGATGCGTCAGTGCCGTCTATCAGCCCATCATCAGTGTCACCTATCAGTGCCGCCTATCAGTGCTGCATATCAGTGCCGCCTATCCGTGACCCCTAATTAGTGCTGTCTATCAGTGCCGCCTATCCATGCCACCTCATTAGTACTGCCTATCAGTGCCCTTTAGTGCTGCCTATCAGTGCCCATCAGTGCCGCCTATCAGTGCCCATCAGTGCCGCCTCATCAACGCAAATCAGTGAAGGAGAGTTTGAAAAATTTTATAAAAGAAACAAATAAACTTTTTTTTTTTTTCAAATTTTTTGCACTTTTTTTAATTTATAGCGCAAAAAGTAAAGCGCCCATGGCGATTAAATACCACCAAAAGAAAGCTCTATTTGTGAGAAAAAAATGTCAAAATTTCATATGGGTACAATGTTGCATGACCGCCAGTCACAAAGTGCGGCAGCGCTGAAAGCTGAAAATTGGCCTGGTAATTATAAGTGCCCGGTAGGCAAGTGGTTAATATCAAAATAAGACAAGAGTCTATGCAAGTCCAACAGTGGAAATCGTAGCCAAAGCCGGGATCAAGAGCCAGGAAGAATCGTCGCCAGAGCCAAGATCAGGAGCCAGGAAGAATCGTCACCAGAGCCGGGATCAGGAGCCAGGAAGAATCGTCACCAGAGCTGGGATCAGGAGCCAGGAAGAACCGTCGCCAGAGCCTGGGTCAGAAGCCAGGAGGAGCCTTAGCCAAAGCCGAGTCGGTATCCAGGAGAGCAATGAGTAGCTAAACAGGAGCTTGCTGCTGTGCAAGAGACAGGACACGAATGCAATGGACAGCTGCAAACAGCAGACTTATATGTGATAAGCCGCCACCTCCTAGGGGAGGAGCCGCAGAGGGCTGAAAGCATAAAGGATCCCACAATACTTTGCAGACACCTAAGATGGATGCCAGCACATGGAGCAGCCCAAGTCCTGAGGAAAGGTAGGACCTTGACATCCCCCTAGTATGTATGATGCATGCATATTCTTAGCCCCCAAGTGCATAATGTTACATTTATCAACATTAAACCTCATTTGCCACATAGTTGCCAACTAAACAGTGCATTGAGGTCGTCGGCTTGTAAATTGGAGACATCCTTTAAGGACGTTATTCCACTGCACAGCTTGGTGTCATCTGCAAAGAAATATTTTTAATCCCAGACCTTATATCATTTATAAATATATTAAAAAGTAAGATTACCAACACTGAACTTTGGGGTACACCACTGATGACCCCAGACCATTCAGAGTATAAATCATTCACCACTAATCTCTGAATACGATCTTTTAGCCAGTTTTCTATCATTTACAAAACTGATTTTTCCAAATCTGTAGACTTTACCTTACACATTAGCCGTGTGTGGGGAACCGTTTCAAATGCTTTTGCAAAATCCAAGTATACAATACCTACTGCAACCACTTTGTTCAAGGTTTTCCTCACCTCTTCATAAAAAGAACTCAGATTTGTTTCACAACTTCTCTTTCATGGATCCATGCGGTTTGTTGCTTAAAATATATTTTTTTCCAGAAAAAACTCATCTATGTGGTCTTTTATTAACCACTTGCCTACAAAGCACTTATACCCCCTTTGTGCCCAGACCAAGTTTCAGCTTTCAGCGCTGTTGCACTTTGAGTGACAATTGCGCGGTCATGCAACACTACACCCATATGAAATGTTTATAATTTTTTTCACACAAATAGAGCTTTCTTTTGGTGGTATGTACTTGTCGCTGGGTGTTTTATTTTGTTGCTAAACAAAAAAAAGTGCAAATGTTTTGAAAAAAAAATTTTTTTCTTTGTTTCTATTATAAAATTTTGTAAACAGGTAATTTTTCTCCTTCACTGATGTGCGTCGATGAGGCTGCACTGATAGGCAGCACTGATGGGCACTGAAAGGCAGCACTGATGAGCTGGCACTGATATGCAACAATGATGGGCACTGATAGGCGGCACTGACTGGCAGCACTGATGGGCACTGATGGGCACAGGTGGGTGGCACTGATGGGCTCAAATGGGCAGCACTGGTAGGTGGCACTGCTGGGCACCGATCATCAGGGCACTGATCATCAGTGCCCTGATGATCGGTGCCGATCCCTCCTCTGACAATTGCCGGTTATCGGCAGCCCAAAACCGGCAACTGCATTTACCGGTGATCTGCTGTGTCATTGGACACGGCTGATCACGTGATAAAAGGCCGCTGTGATTGGCCTTTTACCACATCACATGATCAGCTGTGGAGATCATGTGAGACCACCGGGGTTGCACGAGAGGGCGCTGTGACAGGAGTGACTTTTGGGGGTGGGGGGACCTCTGTATCATCTTCCCAAATTCCCATTATGTTTAAGGCACCCTGTGCCTGTTAAAGGGTACAGGGTGTGTAAATGTGAATGTCCCAGTCTTGTGTATAGTGTGTGCTTTCTTTTATGGGGCCACATAGGTAAGCCGTAAGCTGAATAGGTTTTATTTCTAGCCTTTTAAACTTGTTTCCCATAGGAATATATTTTGCAGTGTGTTTGCATACCGTCTTTTTGAAGAACTCCCATTTTTGTTCTGTGTTCATTGATGGCAATATTCCCACCCAGTCTAAAACTTAGAGAGTGGCCCTCATGCTTGGAAAATTAGCTCTCCTAAAATTGTGTGGTTTTATCTTTCCCTATGTGCCACTGCTCCCCAGATGTTCTTTTATATGAACATTAGTAATAACCCCTGCATGGTTTGAGATCACCAGGTCCAGCAGAGCATCATTCCTAGACGGGGCCTCTATGTTAATGTTATCCTAAAAGTCATTTTCCCATTTTTTTATAACTGCAGCTTTCAGAAAAATGATACCTGGTGATCCTGCCATAAAGGTCATCGATCAGGCTTTTCATGTTATAGGGCGACAACACTGTCCCTGTCTCCCACCTTGTCATGCCATCATATGATATTTTAATGGAAACTATAAGTGGCCATTTCAATTAACAATATACAATAAAAGGCATGGTCCACTGTTGTCATCATAAAGAAATCAGATATGGAAAATGCCATGCAGTGCAAGTAAGTAAAAAAGAAGTGGCTGCAGGAGATCAGCACTACACTAACATGCAAAATACATTACCTGTGCGGGCTGGTGTCTGTTTTGTACAGGCAGTGGATAGTGGTGCCTTGTGTTTTTACAGTGCATGGACTGTTTACCTTTTTTTTTTTTCTTAACTTCACTGAAATATTAAATATTATACACTGCCAGAAGAGAAAAGGGCTATGATGTGTGATGAGGGATGGAGCTGTACTAATGAACTGACTCTTCTTGGAATAGCTATAGCAGTTTCAAAGGCACATTGCAAGTGAACAAAATCAATTAAGGAAAGGGAAAAGCACTCACAATACTTGATTTTTCTGTGCTTTTAAGGTCCATTCACACTAGGGAGCCTTGTCATGTGACTTTGGACATCAAAGTCACATGACAAGTCGCTGTCCATTCTTTTCAATGGCACCTGTTCAAATCGGTGCGACTATTATAGGTACTTACATAGCTCTGACAATTTAGGCAGTGCTTCACATACAGTGGATATAAAAAGCCCTGTTAAAATGTCAGGTTTCTTGTGATGTAACAAAATGAAACAAAAGATAATTTCAGAATTTTTTCCACCTTTAATGTGACCTAAAAAATTTACAACTAAATTGAACAACAAACTGAAATCTTTTTTTTGGGGGGACGTAATCATAAGAAACTAAAATAATGTGGTTGCATAAGTGTGCACAATCTCTTATAACTGGGGATGTAGCTGTGTTCAGAATTAAGCAATCACATTCAAAATCATGTTAAATAGGAGTCAGTACACACCTGCCCTCATTAAAAGTGCCTCTGATTAACCCCAAATAAAGTAATAAATAGTGGCATCCTACAGCAAAAGCCATGGTTTGCAGAGAGCTTCCAAAGCATCAAATTGATCTCATTGTTAAAAGGTATCAGTCAGAAGTGTTCAAAAGAATTTCCAAGGCATTAGATATACCATGGAACACAGTGAAGACAGTCGTCATCAAGTGGAGAAAATATGGCACAACAGTGACATTATCAAGAACTGGACGTCCCTCCAAAATATATATGAAAAGACATGAAGAAAACTGGTCTGGGAGGCTGCCAAGAGGCCTACAGCAACAATAAAGGAGCTGCAGGAATATTGGGCAAGTACTGGCTGTGTGGTACATGTGACAACAATCTCCTGTATTCTTCATATGTCTGGGCTATGGGGTAGAGTGGCAAGACGGAAGCCTTTTCTTACAAAGAAAAACATCCAAGCCCAGCTGAATTTTTCAAAAACACATCTGAAGCCTCCCAAAAGCATGTGGGGAAATGTGTTATGGTCTGATGAAACCAAGGTTGAACTTTTTGGCCATAATTCCATAAGATATGTTTGGTGCAAAAAAAAAAAAAACTACACATCACCAAAAGAACACCATACCCACAGTGAAGCATGGTGGTGGCAGCATCATGCTTTGGGGCTGTTTTTCTTCAGCTGGAACTGGGGCCTTAGTCAAGGTAGAAGGAATTGTGAACAGTTCCAAATACCAGTCAATATTGGCACAAAACATTCAGGCTTCTGCTAGAGAAAGCTGAACATGAAGAGGAACTTCATCTTTCAGTATGACAATGACCCAAAGCATACATCCAAATCAACAAAGAAGATTAAAGTTTTCGAATGGCCCAGCCAGAGCCCAGACCTGAATCCGATCGAAAATCTGTGGGGTGATCTGAAGAGGACTGTGCACAGGAGATGCCTTTGCAATCTGACAAAGTTGGAGTGTTTTTGCATGGTAGAGTGGGCAAATATTGCCAAATCACGTTATGCCATGCGGATAGACTCATACCCAAAAAAACTGAGTGCTGGAATAAAATCAAAAGGTGCTTCAAAGTATTAGTTTAAGGGTGTGCACACTTATGCAACCATATTATTTTCGTTATTTTATTTTTACTTCCCTCCACCTTAAAGATTTCAGTTTGTTTTTCAATTGAGTTGTACAGTTTATAGGTTACATTAAAGGCAGAAAAAGTTCTGAAATGATTTATCTTTGTCTCATTGTTAATACATCACAGAAACCTGACATTTTAAACAAGGGTGTGTAGACCTTTTATATCCACTGTATATACAGTATATATATTGTACATTCAGATCAGTCCCTAACCCTCAAGGAGCTTACAATCTAAGATCCCTAACTCACATTCATACATACATATACTAGGGCCAATTTAGACAGGAGCTGATTTACCTACCAGCATGTCTTTGGATTGTGGGGGGAAACCGGGGTAACCGCAGGCACAGGGAGAACATGCAAACTCCAGGCAGGTGGTGCCATAGTCGGGATTCGAACCAACGACCCTAGTGCTACCAGGCAAAAGTGCTAACCATTTAGTCACTGTGTTGCCCATTCCCTTTGAAAAGGTGCCTGCATTACTTTGATGCAACTTTGATCAAGAGAGTGTAAAGTCAGATCAAAATCGCATTCAAACTCGCATCAAAGTTGCACTGGAAATGGAGTGACTTTGGAGTCGTGCAAGTGTGAATGGAGTCTTACTTGCATTTTTTTTACCTTTTGACAAGGTTTAAGAATGCATGTTCAGTATATTTCAATAATTCTATAGTTTCAAAAGCACATTACCTGTAGCGCAGCAAGAGCCACTGCCCCACACAAGCAGATCAGTGGGTAAATGGGAAAAAGAAATCTCTCCTCCTTATGGGGTCTTGTGAAGAAAATCAAAATCCAAATATACATTGGAGCCAGTGTTAGCCAGTATGGACTCCCAAGATTCTGAACTGCTGGAGCAATAACACAATGTTGTTAGCATTCCATTCTTAAAAGTGTATAAAACATCTAAAAAAAGCTGGCTGCTGGGGAGATTTCTGGTGATAGAATACTGACAAATTCTTTACAGAAGAAACAAAAATTCTACAAACCACTTTTACAGAAACCCCGTGAAACCTTTTGAAGTGTGGATCCAAAATTACTCCGGTGACACCCACTGCTGGCACATCCTTAAGCACATCCTTAGCGTGCTAAACTGCAGGTGATAAAAGAGGACAATGCACACCTGAACAGCCAGAACTATGAACAAATTAAAAGCTGCTTCAGCCTGGCTCCTCCTAGGCCATGCATCACTGACACATTCTGCCCTGCCCACAGGACTTAGTTATAGATGCTATTAGTCCATAGCTAAGTCTTGTGGGCAGGGTGAAATGCAGAGGGGCGTGACCTGGGAGGAGCCAGCCTGCAGCCACTTTTCAGTCATTCATAGTTCCAGCTGTTTAGGTGTGTGGCGTCCTCGCTGTCTCAAGCACTTTCCAGCAGCAGCTGTCATTCACCCCTATCCCCTGTGTCTGGCCCCGCCCACACTGAAATCTCCATGTGCAACCAGTGCTGTGCCTGGAAAAAAACAGATTTGAAGTACAGCAGCCGACAGATCCATTGTGGCTGCATGAATGATGCCTCTGCGTGAGCCTGCAGATCCCAGCCTCAGGTTTGTGAGCAGTTCACTAAATACCCCATGTCTCTTTCCCTATTCTCCCCATCTGCTCCCCCCCCCCCTTTCTTACAGGAACTCCACAAACTTGCCCAGTTGATTTCATGTTCAATTAGCACTTACGGACACTTTTAGCGCCTTAGGGGGGCACTGTGCCGGATTCTGAGGCAAGGGGGCACTCTGCCAGGCTCTGAAGTAGGGGGGCACTCTGCTGTAAGGGGGACTATGAAGACTAAGGTATCGTGTTCTGACAGAGGGGAGACTTCCCTGCCATCAGAATACACTAATCACTGCTGCTGGCCACAGCTGGCGGTGCTGATAGAGTGGAAATTTTCCTAAAGGCTGGTTGTACAAAAGTCGATTGGTAGATCGACTTCTGTACAACCAGCCTGCCCATACATGGATTTAAATTCTGCCAGTGCCTAAGTGTTTAACGGCTTACGGACCACCCTATAGCAGATATAGTGCTACAGGGCGGCACTTGTACGCAGAATCACGTGTATATATGTGATTTTGCATTTCCGTGCGTGCATCCTACCCGCACTGCCATTCGTGGCCGCGGATGTCAATCACCAGGTCCCAAGCATCTTCGATAGGGAGAAAGTGTTTTGTTTACAAATAATGTTCCTCCCTGTCAGTTCGAGCACACTGCTCGGGATGGCTGTGCACAGTACATCCATCCCGATCAGTGTGCTTACAGTGAAGCAGTGAA